CCCCACCCCCCCCCCCCCCCACTTCCCAATCAGTCCCAAAACCTGGCACCTCTTCTTGTTTATCTATGATTTCATGCTTTAATCCCTGGGAAATCATCCTCTTTTTCTTTTGAGCACTGTCCTTTCACTTACTTTCTTAGGACCCATGGTTAGAATAGCGAAATTTGGCAAATGACTGAAAAAAATGTTATCATAAGCAGGAGAGAACTGCTCCCCAGCTAGGGTAAAACTGCACTGAGTTGACTTCATTCTGAAGTTCTCATTGTTATAATAATGTATTATTATTATTTTTTTTTGGGTTATGAAGCTCCAGCATTATTGTAATAATTAGGATGATTAATAATTATTTTTATTGTTAATTTAGGGGAATGAAGCTCTTTCATTATTTATATTATTTTTATTTTCATTATTATTATTATTATTATTATTTTTTATTAGTATTTAACCCCTTGAGGGGCCTTGCCGTGATCTACAGCTTTACGTTTGAGGGTCCAAACAGTTGATCTACGTTATGAGCTCAGCTCACTTTGTAAGCGGTGAGAGTGGTAATTTGGCCTTGATATGTACGAGAATACATGTGAGTTGTATGTGTGGCACCACATAAAACAATCCTGCAGACTAGTGCATAATGAGAGAAAAAAAATGAGGACCGTAATTTTCAATTAAAACAGCGACTTTGCAGTGTTTGTTCGTATGTTTTTTTAGTTGTATTTGCGGATTTCTTGGGTCTCAATTGATAGAATGGAGACATATTTACAGAAATAGAAGATGATTTTGATTGGTTTTATTACGGAAAATGGCTTGAAATGAGACTCAAAGTAGCGTATATGTTAATTTTTTGCCCAATGTTCAAGATAAACAATGACCTCACACGTCTAATACAACGCCATGTGTCGCTGGGTCTGATATAGTTCACAAATTGCTGATATTATTTATACAATTATTACTTATTGGCATAACAGTAAAATCTTTATTTTTGGGTTTGAATAAAAATTCATTATATGAATAAAAAATCAAAATTTTTTGGGAATTTCTTTTGTAATGCCTGGAAAAACATAACTGATGAAACAGAGGAAATGTTAGTTTAGTGCCAGGAATACCTGCATTGTTTATTCTGGACCCTATTTTGAAAATTGGAATATTTGAACTTTGCATTTAATTGGCAATATTACAATTTCCGATCACTTTATTTTGTAGTTGAAGCAAGTTGACTTGGCGATTCTTGGCCTCAGTCGATGGAATAGAAGTACACTAGTGACACTAGATAAGAAATTGGTCTGACTGGAATAATGTAATGGCCAATAATGGGAGTCAAATCCACAAAATCGCAAATGCGTAAAATCGCTGGACACATAAAAAATTCGCGAAGAGCATTTTGGTAGTGTTCCATCAATTTTTCATACATTTTTCTTTTATTACCTTCAGAAAATGGAGTTTCTACCATTTTTATAGGAAAAATTAAAATTATTTTTTTGAAAATGTTGGACACTGTGTGCACTTTGAAATTTGGCCTTGGACCCGAAAGAGTTAAATTTAGAGAACTTGAGCACTATCCAATTCCCTAGATCAAGAGCCCCTCACCAGTGTCAAGGTTCCGTGGCTCTGGCGAGGGGTCTCTTGATTTGGGATTTGGATATGTGCTCTAGTTCTCTAAAATTAAGAATATTAATATAATAATAATAATTAATAATAAAAATATTTATTATAATAGCCGATAGAGCTTCAGTTCCCTAAATTAAAAATAACGATGAGCTTCAGTTCACTAAATTAACAATAATAATAATAATGTACATAATACATATGTAATAATAAATCAGAATGCTGCTGCTAGTTGGCAGTACACATGTTTACATCACTGTCGAAGCAGTACTCTCCTGCTTTGCTTACAGTTTTTACAGTCAATGATTTCCATGGAATTAATGCATGAAATCATAGATAAACATAAGCAAGGTGCACGAGTTGTGGATTTAACCAGACAATACCAGCGCAGTACATCTACTATATGTACGATACTAAAGCAGCAGGAGATGATAAAGGCTATAGCGCCAGCCAAGGGCATTACAATAACATCTAAGCTGCGGACCTTTGTCCATGAAAATATGGAGAAGCTGTTGCTGACATGGTTGAGAGAGAAGCAGCTCACAGGAGATACCATATCAGTTACGTTCTGTGATTAAACAGAACAAATTGTATCATTATGTTCCTGTGTAAGACATATACCTTTATTTTAAAACAGTTTTATTTCTTCTTCTGAGTGCACACCTACCATCCGACTTACGACTTGCTCGATTTACACCACCACTTACACCGTGTTTTTTTTTCCCAAATTTTGGGAAAAATAAAAACATTTGTTTTGTACCAGGGTTTACTAAATCTTTACAGTATAAAATACAGATAACAGAAAAAAAAGTAAAGTAAAACATGAAAAAAACCAAAATAAACAATAAAATAAAGTCAATTACAAAAAGTGGTTGATACAGTAGTAACTTCGATTTTTCCATTTTGACTTATCCCGGGTTTTTTTGGGAACTGGGGCTGGGTTGAAAGTCGAGGGTGGGTGTATTGATTTTATGGTTTATAAATTTTTTTCAGTGTGTTCCTTAGAATACATGATCTACGCATTACCCTAAAAAATTACTCTTTTTCCCCTCTTACAATAAAGCAGGAAGATCTCCGTACAGTGGACCCCCGGTTAACGTTTTAAAAATTCCGGCAAGGGGTCTGTTATGCGAAATAACGTTATGCGAATCATTTTCCCAAAAAAAATAAGGAAATAAAATTAACCCGTCAAGAGCCCAAAAGTATAAAAAAAAAAAAAAAATTTTTTTTTCCCACATGAAATGTTTTTTTTAAATAAAAACAAACAAAAAAAGGCATGCCAATTAAAGACATTATTTTTTATTGAAACTTTGATGATTGATGGGATGGGGGAGGGGGAGAGTGTGTTAGTGTTTAAAGGGAACCCCTTTTCCATTAGGACTTGGGTAGAAGCCCTTTTTGGGGGTTTATTTTCCCTTCTTTTTTAAGCCACTGGGGCCAGCTTCCGGTCACGGATTTTTTCGCACAAGATATCTGTCCATAGGGCCTGTCCCTTCGTTCCTTTATGATTTGCCAAAAGGTTTTTTTCACAACTTTCAGGTAAAAATCACCAGCACGGCTTGCAATAGCGTGTGAGGTGTTTTTTCTCCATGAAGGTTTGCACTCAAGCCACTTTGCACAGTTTTCCTTTAACTTTAAAGTAGGAACTTCTTCAATTTCTCTTCCCCTCCCCGAAGCAATTTCCTCAGGTTGCCTCTTCGTTGAAGTTGACTAGCAGCTCTCATTTTTAGTTCTTCATTGTCCTCCTCCCCCAACTCTTCCCACCCCCCCACAAAACCTCCAACCCCAAGGATTTTCCCAATGCCACAAGGGATTCCTCAACTGGCACGGGATTTCAGGGTTGCCCAAACCCTTCAAAATCCCTTTGTCTACACTTCTGGCCACAGTTTTTCCCAAAGCGATTAAAGTCCTCTTTGTCACTTCCTCCCAACCCTTTACCTATAAGGTTTTTACACAATTGAGGTATTAAAGTAAACTCTCCAAAAATCCTTAGAGTCAGTTGAGTTCGAGGTCATTACAAAGCACCTTTCAAACGACTTTTTGTGTCAGTTTCTGAATTGGAAATAACCTGCGCCATGGCTGCAGGAGAGGAGGGTATTAGGAGGCAAAAACTTCCCTTAAATGAACTCATGTCCCCAAAAAGCCCCTCTGACACGTCTGTAGGTGACCGGGGGCATTGTCTAACACCAGGAGGCATTTAAATTTAATTTCTTTTCATAGGTAATTTTTCAAGGGGGGCAAATCATGGTGAAACCTTAAGAAAAATTCCCTGTGACCCAGCCTTACTGTTTGCCCCCCACACACACCAAAATTACCCTTTGAGGACATTCTTTTGCCTGAACCTTGGGAGTTTCAATGATACAAAATAAAGGCTTTTTTTGAAATCACCAGAAATTGGGACACATCAACAAAGTAACCCTGTTTTTCATGGGCTTAGTCCGGGGATCCCTTTTCCCCCCTGGTAATTAGGCCTGCTTGGCATTTTTTTCCAGAACAGGCCTGTTTCATCACAATAAACACTTGTTCGGGTTTCGTCCTTTTCAGTTTCTAGGTACTCCTTGAATTCCTGCACAATTTTTTCAGGTTTTGGTCCGAACTGGCAGCCTCCCATGCCTTAAAAAACAGGGATGCCACTATTTCTTAAATCTCTAAAAACCAACCTTTGCTGGCCTTAATTCACTCACATATACTGTTGCAGGCATTTTTTAATTTAAACGTCATGCAACTTCCCTGCCTTTCCATAACGTTTGAGAACGCATCTCCTGCTATCTTTTTTTTATTTACCACCCAAATAAGAGTCTCCAACTCTTCCTCAATTTCGATTTTGTTTCGAAAAAACATTGAACCTTTTTAAAAAACGCTTCCTGATTGTCTTTCTGGTGCCCCAATAGTAGCGATGGTTGATTGGGGTTTTTTACGCTTGTAGGTCGGCTATCGCACTCCACTTTATCTTTCAATTATCCTTTTTTAAACCTTTTAAATAATTCTTACCCTTTGAGGGGTAGGGTGGCCAGAAGCTTTTTTTGGGCCCCTGGTCACTTTTTTTTCCAGAACAGCACCGAAAATACTTAATAATACGAAATATTCGAGTGTAGCTTGGATGTTTCCGCGGGGCTGGCTGGGAAACAATGGGGCGGAGCGGCACATTAAGGGTGGCTGAGGGGCCCTTGGACGCTCTCGGACAAAATGGTAGCGGGTTTTTAATCGGTATGCGGGCAAAAATTTTCCGATAAAAGAATCGTTATGCGGAAAATTTGCTATGCATGCCCCGTTATGGGGGGTCCACTGTAATACACGGAAAAAGGCAACCTTCCGCCGTGCCTATGCCACTATTATGGCCTATTTATTCATTCTAGAGATATATCATTTTCTGTGTTAAATTTTATGTTTATTTTTGTCAGATAATTGTGTTAGATAAATAAGCCGCAGTTGATAAACATCATATTTAATTTTTCTCATCTCTCCAAGGGGCAGGGAAAGAATTAATGGCTTTTTTTTAATTTTAAATGAGGAAAAAAATTTGAAAATTAGTAAATTGACTTCGGCTAGCTTCGGGAAAAGATTAACTCGTAAGTCAAGGTTTACTTCATTTTTACGCTGCCAACCTGACTCAGCACTTTAAAGTCCCCACACCATAAAAACCAACCCAAAATTCGAAGATAACAGCAGTTTAGAAAGTGTCCAGGGCTAATATATTTATATATTATAGAAACCAGAAGGAAGAAAGGAAAGAAAGAATGAAGAAAGAAAGAAGGGAGGTATAGGAAGGAATGAGACCAGGGAAAATTTACCTGGAAAACTATAACACAACTACCTGCAAAATACTTTTAAGAAAAAAGCTAGAGAGGGTTTTTGTCTGTGTCATACAAAAAATCCACAAAAATGCGAGATAATTGTTTTTTGTGTGAGAATGTAAAACACCATTGTGTATGACACCATTTTTTAAAGAGTTTCCCCAAGCTGCAAAATTTAGGAACATGTCCACTGCTGTACATTTGTATATATATTTTAGAACAATAGTAATAAACAATTTTTTTTATTGTTTTTTGTAAAAAAAATTTTTTAAAAATAAAGTAATTTTGTTTGTGCATTTATTTTTGTAACAAAAAGTGATATATGTACATTGCACCTTACTTTGGGTTTAAAGGCCCCCATAGTTACCTGAAAAGAAAAGTAATGGAAAAAGCAAGAAACCTTCGAATGGGATAAAATAAAAAGTTTACCCGGGGGGAGTGGGATTCGGGTGTTGCTATACGCAGCCATTTTCTGCCAACTTTACCCTCCAATTCCCGGGAAGTACGTAATGATCACAAAAAAAAAAAAATTTTGGTTTAAAAAAATCAGCAAAAAATCTTAACTTTTGGTAAGAAAAAATAATTTTTTTTTTATTTTTGAATATTTTTCGACATAGAATGACAGTTTTTGAAAGGGCTTGCAACGTCAAAAGGGGTAATGTTTTTCTTTGACAAACCCTTTTTCCCGTCAGATGTTTTATAACATTCTCACTTGCACACTTCGGGTTTTTTATGATTCCCTATTTTATATACAGAAAAAAAAGCACAGAACACAAACCCTTTTTTCCCCTGATATAAAGAGAAGGAACACAAAGTTCAAATTTTACTGAATATTTTAATTAAGGCTGAAAAAATAGTTTATGATGGATGAATTGCCCCAATGGGGTAAAAAAATTTTAAATTGGCAGCTTTCTTATGCTTTTCCCCTTTTAAAAACTTTTCTTCCCACAATGAAAATTTCTCATAGGGGGTTTCCTCCATGGGGGAATGAAAGAATCCTTTTCCTTTAAAACCATGCGTGCATAAAGGCACAAAGGTGGGAGGAAGGACTAGTAACCCTTCCCTGTTACATTTCTAAAAGAAAAAAAAGAATGCTTTATGCTAGTGAAGGACCTTTATAATAAATTTTGAGTTTACTAATGGATAGTTTCAGAGCTCCTCACCTCCCAACCCCCTCCCCGACCGGTTTTCCTTTTTGGTGCTTTATTAGTTAGGCTTTTGGTTTTTTGTTTTTATGCAGTCAATTGATTTTGTTTTTCAAGGGTGTGTTTCTTCAAAAAGGACACTGACAATATTCTCTGAGTGTTTGAGTTCGGAGGGAAACAAGCGTGACCCATGGTGAGTTGAGCGAGGAGGACAAGGAGTTCCTATGGCACGACGGAGCCGTCTCTCTGTACCTACTCACTTCCCAGACCCTTGATGCTGGAAGTGGTCAGGAGGAATCACGTTAGCAGGGAAACCACAAAGGATTTTTGACTTCAAAAGGGATTACCTGGGGGAAATTTGAGCTATTCTCCCCCTTGCCGAAACACATTGATTGTCTAAAAGTGTACGCACCAATAACTCGCACATTTTTCTCTTATGGGGAGGTTTATTTGTGCAAATTTTTAGTCAGGGATTGTGCCCTTTTTTTTTCTTTATGGTTACAATCTTGTGAGTTTATTTCTTCCATGTGTTTTATAAATAAAAAGGGAAATGTTTTGAGGGGGAGCCTATTTTTTACATAAAATTTTAAAATGTATACTAAAAAATACAGTGGTACAGAGGGAATGAAACTTAAAACACATAACACTTACCTTATTGGTGATTCTTCTTAGTGTTGGAAGACTGGAGGAGGAGACAGATTGCATTACTGTTTGGAAGGGGAATCCCCTTCCATCAACACCTCAGGTACCAAGTGCTTTTCTGGGGTTACTTCTCTTCTCTGTTTCTTAATGCCACTAGGACCAGCTGAGAGCCACTGGAGTCCTGTCTCACAAAAAAATGTCCAGAGATCTATGTTGTCTGGCATCTCTTTAAAACTTCCCTAAAATGGGTCAAGACTCTCTCACTGTACAAGTTGCTGATATGGCTTGCAACATCCTTTTCTGGGTTATGTTTCTCCATAAATCTTTCCATCTTACCCCACATTTCAAAAATCTCCTTAATTTCTGAAGAAGGCACCTTCTTCCATCTCTCTTCCTCCTCCTCTGTAGCAAGATTCTGAGCTGTGATCTGATGCTGTTCCTGCTGAAACTCTTTCAGCTCCTCAGTGGTTAGCTCTTCGTTGTGGTCCTCCACCAACTCTTCCACATCCTCCAAACTCACATCCAACCCCATGGAACTCCCCAGTGCCACAGTAGAGTTCACAACTGACATAGGCTCATCAGGGGCCACCTCAAACCCTTCAAAATCCCTCTTATGGACACAGTCTGGCCACAATTTTCTCCAAGCAGAGTTCAAAGTCCTGGTAGCCACTCCTCCAAGCCTTACCTATAAGGCTTATGCAGTGGAGAATACTGAAGTATTCTTTCCAAAAATCATAGGGTCAAGTGAGTGTCTGAGGTCACATTAAAGCACCTTTCAAACATTGCTTTGGTGTAGAGTTTTTTAAAGGTTGAAATGACCTGTTGGTCCTTGGGCTTGAGGAGAGGAGTGGTATTTGGGGGCAAGAACTTTACTGTGATGAACACAAACTCCTTTAGAATTAGATCATCCAAGTTTGGAGGATGAGCAGGTGCATTGTCCATTACTAGGAGGCACTTGAGATCTAATTTCTTTTCCAGGAGGTAATTCTTCACACTAGGGCCAAACACTTCATCGAACCACTCGATGAAAATTTCCCTCATGTCCCATCCCTTTTATTATTAGATCTCCAAAACACACACAATTTACTCTTCATAACATTGTTTTATTGAACACTCTGGGATTTTCAGAATGGTACACTAGTTATGGCTTCACTTTGAAATTCACTTTGAAATCCCCACTAGCATTAGCACAGAACATGAGCGTCAGCCTGTCTTTCATAGGCTTGTGTCCTGGCAGTGCCTTTTCCTCCTGAGTAATGTAGGTCCTCTTTGGCATTTTCTTCCAAAAGAGGCCTGTTTCGTCACAATTGAACACTTGTTCAGGTTTCAGTCCTTCAGCCTCTATGTACTCCTTGAATTCATGCACATATTTTTCAGCCGCTTTTGGTCCAAACTGACAGCCTTATCACACTGTGTTTGCCAGTATGCTTCTTAAATCTCTCAAACCAGCCTTTGCTGGCCTTAAATTCACTCACATCACCAAACTATGTACTGAAACTATGTACTGTGCCAAAACAAAAGCATTCACATTGCTAAACTCACAAACTAGTATTTAGTCACTTAGCCATAATACCAACTTACCTCATAATTTGTAATATTTTACAATTAAGAATAAAACTAAGTCTGCCCGAAATGCCTAGCCATGCTAAGCGTTCTAGTGGTACACTCTGTAATCACTATTTTACTACATGTAAACCACACAATAACCAAATTTCTGTAAACTCAGCATTGTAATCCTTATAGAGAATAAACTTTGAATTGAATTGAATTGAATTGAATTGAATAGTTACAGGCAATTTCTTTACCAAATCGTCATGCAACTGCCTAGCCTTTTCACAAATAATCGACGTCATAATAATCCACACCAGTAATAACTTCTCAACATCTTCGAGTACTGGTGATCTCATTTTTGTCAGCATATTTACCCCCTTTTTAACAACAGCTTCCTTTTTTTCCTTTTCTTGGCCACAATGGAAGATATGGTTGTACGAGATTTGTTATACATCCTGGCCAGTTCACCCACACGTACACCACTTTCATATTGTTCAATGATGTTTTTCTTAACTTCAGTTGCATTTCTCACCTTCTTTGCCAAAGGCTTGGCGCTAGGAGCTTTCTTTGGAGCCATGGTAGCTTATTTAGCACTTGCAAGCACTAAAATGAATGGAATACAGTATTATGAAATATTTCTTATGAACAAGTGAGGGGACTGTCGCTCACTGGTAGACAGTGGCACACTGGCTGGGAAGGGAGGCCGAGGCGGCTCAGAGCCGTGAGTACGCGTCCAGGACGAGAGACAATTAGCGAGTCAGTGGACCATTTGCGAGCCTATGTTTGGATGAAATAACACAACAATTTCCGAAAAGGACGACTATCGAGCTGGATGATTATTGAGGGACCACTGTACGAACAGTCGATGGGTCGATTTTTTGTTTCCATACGCGAGCAGAATTTCCATAAACGAGCAGACCTCAAGGCAGGTTCCTTGACGTTGGTGAGGGGCTCTTGCTCTTGATGTAGGGACTTGTATCTCATTTGTTTGTTGGACTATATTATTGAAACTTGGGTAATGTATGATAGAAAGATGCTTCTTAACCCTTTCAGGGTCCACAGGCCCTCTCAGAGACTTGTTCTCAGGGTACCCCAAATTTAAAAAAAAAAAATTATTTTTTCTTATGAAAAGATAGAGAATCTTTTCCCGATCATAATGACACCAAAAGTATGAAATTTGATGGAAAACTTACGGAATTATGCTCTCGCGAACTTAGCGGTCTCAACGATGTTTACGCATCGGCGATTTTGCTCACTTTGAGCCCTATTTTTGGCCA